TTTTAACAATCCAAAATTTGCACATTGCTCGATAATTTATCAACATTTAACTTATAATATTTATCTTCCTTTATTATAATTCTTAGTGTATGTAATGTTAAAACGTTTATTCAACAAATTTCTCATGGTTAATTATTTTATTTTTATTTTTAGATTTTTTATTTATATGTATTTATTTAAATAATTTTTCAACCTATATAATAAGTTAATTAGTGTCCATTTGAATATTTAAATATACTATGTATTTCATGATTACCATGTGCTATAATTTAAATTATGATAGTTGACTATTTTATTTAATATTTTTTTATAAATAGCATAATAAAAATTATTGAATAATTTTTTTATGTACTGAGGTGAAATTTATACTTTTGAATTTTACTCGGCGATCAAAAATTAATTTTATTAATATATTATTTAAATTTCAATAGTATTATCATTTCAAATGGTATATTCAATGGAGATTTACCTTTTTATGGTTAGCTTGGCTACAATTTAGAAAATATTTTTAATATTTTAAATTATTAATTAAGTTAATATGATTCAAACATAGTTATTTTTTATTAATTTAATGCATATTTAGAGTACCTATGATTAGTGAATATAATTAAATAAATTAATATTTACAACCATAGATAAAAATTGTGATCAAATCAATTTTTATAATAGTTTATTAGTTGTGTCAATATATTACTTTGAAATCAGTATCAACTATTCAAATCTTACAAAAATTATATCTAATCAATCTACGATCTAAATAATTTTGTTTAAAGCCACTGAATACACTAAAAATTATTATTTTGTCATATATAATATTTCTAATAAAATGTGAAATATAGACGAAAAATTTTCAATCACAAATCATGTCAATTATGGTAATATGGATTGATCCATTATATTGATATTGATATAGATATTAATTTTTTTCTTAAAGTGGGGCTCCATCTTCCACAAAAAAGTAAATGAGAAATCTACTTAGCTTACGGTTGGAATTGAACTTTATTTTAAAAATACAGAATCTGTATTTTATTTCTAAAACTAGTTTTTAACCCGTGCATTTGCACGGAAGACATTATAACAGAACAAAAAATAATAAAAAGATATAAACAATAGTAAAAATCATAATATTATCATTGGAAAAATGTTCTAAAAAAGAATAACTAAATATTGTTAAACAATTCTTTATATACAACGTTTGTGGTTTTTCTATCAACAGAATCTCCATCATTACAAATCACTATCTTCAAATTAAGACATATAGTGATTTTATTTTTTAAAATAATTATTGTATTTTGTACTATAGATCATATAGGAAATTTTTTAAAAAAAAAATATACTATAAAAATACCAACAAAATATTACAAAATAAATAATTGTATTTGGTTGATAAATAAAGATATGTGCCAAATATTTAAGACATTTGAACAAAATGGCAATTGTTGGGCCATAAAGAACTATATTGATTGAATGATGTAAATCAGGTCAATAATAACATGACTATAAATAGAGATAAACTCCTTGAGTGACGTAAGCTATTTTTTTTGTTTGATGTCGGCGCTTCTTTCGTTGTTCACTCTGTCTGAAACCCTAATCCTTAACCCAATCTTACGACAAACTCGGCGAGATTCAGTTCAAAATAAATGTTTTTTTTGGAGATTTTCTCCCAGTAAAGGCTTAAAAAATAAAAATAAAAAGAAATCCGAGAAATGTTGTTTTTGTAGCCAACACTAGTGATCGAAAAATAAATATTCGTCCCGATTTCTTAATATGTGTTGCTAAATTTTAACAGGCCAGTCAAAATCGGGCGATAATATTACAAATCTATGAAGAGCTGAAATATTTTTTGTTAAACATAGTTTAAATTTTTTATTATTTTCAATGATTTGTGTCATTTTTCGAAATTTCTTTTGAATAGGCTTCAAAGATATATCATATTTTATACATAATTCAAAATTATGTAGATGTTTTTCGAAATCGTTTTTCGAAGAGAACATGACATTGGTCGAACATTTTTAAACTTTTATGTATTTTG